AAAGGTAAATCAGCTAAATACTCACTTTTAGAAGCAGTTTATTGCTAGATTGATTCGACTGAACTGGATTGTCCAAAAGGATTGAAGATTTTTTGAAGATCCGGCCACGAGCACGCTGAACGGTTCGCAAGAACGAAACAGGAGAGAAAGACTATCAGAGAGGGGAGAGAAAGTCAAAATTTGTCGCTCTCCCTCGACCCAGACTGTTCGCGTCCAAAATAACATGGCCACCGCGTGAGCCATCGCGGTTTAATATTCGCGATTGAAAGCACATTTCCAGCAGCAAAACCAATTACAAAACGAACTATTTCCAATTAGAATATTATTAAAAATTTATATTTTCCGATGGCTCGCATGCCTCGCATGGCTCGCACGCCTCGCATGGCTCGCTGGCTCGCAGATTATCCGGACCCTGATGTAGGTGTCATGTGGACGCCCATGGAAACGCAAACGGTTGCTCGCAGTGGTTTTTCTCCCTTCGTAGCGTAGCGTCCGTGGGCCTGGAGAAACCACTGCTGGCAAGGTAATTACCCAAGGGTTGGCTTCGTTGCATCCTTGTTTGTCATTTATATAATGTTAAATTTGCTTCGTTTCTTGTAGTGGGTACATTGGCCCTGGAGGCCTCGCTGATATTGAAGCGTACGAAAACTGTACAGGAGGAATAGCTGGCTCCATTGACAGATATTTGTTTGGTTCAAAACACATTTACCAGCATCCGACCTGCATGGTATGTATTCAATTTAAGTCGTCCTTCAACCAAGGTAATATTAGGTACCTTACGAAGCTACGACGGCGACAGCAACGGGGACTTCAAGAAAACAGTAGGTTTAATGAGCAAAACATCAACTCTGTACGACCATCACGCATTTTTGGACATTTTCTCATCGTCCCTTCCCAACTATGACGTGAGGCGACTTGACAACGGGAACGCAAGGCGATAAATTAAACCATCTCTGCGGTCTAAGCTCATGCGCGGTCCCTTCTCGTGAGCTCCAACCTAAATTCCCTTCTTTAAAGCCAGTAACAGGCCGACTCGGGATAATCGCCAAATGGTTTGAATGCTAGTCTATTTTTCAGCGACTTTTTCATGGACGTCGCCGTTGTAGGATCATAAGGTACCTCAGTATTAGGAAGCTTAAGCACACACAACGGCAACGAAAGGCGTCGCTTGGAAGCGAATTTGTGCTGCTTTTAAACTTTATTACTCTTGTTGAATTTCATAGAATCTGTTTTATGGTATCTAAGTTCAGGAAAAGAAAATCGTCGTCTTGTGTTCACGTCCTCCGTAAAACGTGTAACTAGGACGTTTCACGTCGTATTCGTGCAACGACGGCAAAGAACTGTACAAAAAAACATGATGCACGTGCTAAGTTGTTGTTTTGCTAATCTCGTCTGTTTGCTTTTTTGCCGTTCTCGTTGCCGTCGCCGTCGTCGTTGCTTAAGCTGTCTATTTAAATGCACTGAACGCAAGGAAACCTTGTTTCCTGTTGCGTTTTCAGTCTTCAGTCGCGAGAAGGATGTTTATTCGTTTTTGTAGTTACTCTCCCTTGGGGTTTACGAAAATATAGTATCTGTGCACTTGTTCTCTAGACGAAAGGAATAAACGTTTAACGCACGCACGGGCTCATGAGATCATAACCTGCAACTGCTTGGTGATAGTTCTCAGTTTAGTTTTTTTTATTAATTGATTTATTGATTTTCCATAGTTTTATTATTTAACTTTAATTTTTCTTAGAAAACGTACAAAACCATGGTTCCTTATGATCCAGAAGGAGCGTTAGGCACCTTGACGTCTTCTTTTCTTGTCTTTCTCGGAGTACAGGTTTGTTTGTTTTTTTGTTTTTGTTTTTCCTGAGCTGCATGGTATCTCATTTAAGCAATTGCTTTAATTTACCCTGATATTACTGAGTATAGGAATTCTTCACTGTAGGCTGGATACACTTTGTTCACATTTCCTAATCACGTGGCCAGAATGAAGCGCTGGATCTTTTGGTCGATAGTACTGGTGAGTAGCCCCGCCTTCAGGGTGATATGGGTCAATGTAACCTGCTCACTTGATTGCTTATCATGGGCTCGGTAGTTTAATTTCGTTTGCTAGCAACATTTACAACTTGATTTTCATGGGCTGTTAAGCTGTCCAATTCAGCCTGTTTGAACATGACAAGC